CTAAAATTTAACTTTGTCAAAGATTCTAAGTGCCAGGTGTGTGTGCAATCAAAGCAACCGCGCAAGCCTCACAAGGCTACTAAGGCGACGAACTTGGCACCATTCGAACTCGTTCATTCTGATTTGTGCGAAATAAATGGCGAATTGACTAAAGACGGTAGACGATACTTCATGACAGTTATAGATGATTGCACTAGATTTTGCTACGTGTATTTATTGAAAACTAAAGATAAAGCGTTGCATTATTTTAAAGTCTATAAAGCTGAGGTAGAAAATCAACTTGAGAAGAAAATCAAGCGTTTGCGATCCGATTGCGGGGGAGAATATTTCTCAAATCAATTTTCTGAGTTTTGCGCAGTGCATGAAATTATTCATGAGAGGACACCACCATACTCACCATAGTCCAATGGGATTGCAGAGAGAAAGAATCGCACTCTAACTAATTTGGTTAATGCATGTTAGAGACTGCGGGACTATCTAAGAAATGGTGGGGTGAGGCTATATTGACAGCGTGTCATGTCCTGAATAGGGTGCCCACAAAGAACAAAGAAATTACACCATTCGAGGAATGGGAGAAGAAGAGATTAAATCTCTCTTACCTACGAACTTGGGATTGTTTGGCAAAGGTGAATGTGCCAATAAACAAAAAACGAAAGCTTGGACCAAAGACTGTTGATTGTGTTTTTCTTGGTTATGCTATTCACAGCGTGGGTTATAGATTTTTAATTATAAATTCTAGTGTTCCTGAGATGACTGTTGATACAATCATGGAATCTAGAGACGCTACATTTTTTAAGAATGAATTTCCCATGAAAAATGCACCTAGCACGACTGGTCATGAATTTATAATTCCCCATGAGCATGAAAATTTTACTCCGATAGAACAAATTGAGAAACCCTATATGTAAAATCCTGAGAAGGATGACACTATAGTCATTAGAAAAAGTAAGAGACAGAGGACTACAAAGTCTTTTGGTGATGACTATATTGTGTATCTTGTGGATGACACACCAACGACCATTGAAGAGGCATATTCCTCTCCTGATGCTGACTTATGAAAGGAAGCAGTACGGAGTGAGATGGATTCTATTATGTCTAATGGAACTTGGAAAATAGTTGATCGTCCTTATGGGTGCAAGCCTATAGGGTGCAAATGGGTGTTCAGGAAAAATTTAGGCCTAATGGTACTATCGAGAGGTACAAGGCAAGACTTATGGCCAAGGGTTATACTCAAAAGGAAGGTGATGACTTCTTTGATACTTATTCACCGGTTGCCCGATTGACTACAATTCGAGTTTTGCTTTCCCTGGCAGCCTCCTATGGTCTTATCGTTCATCAAATGGACGTTAAGACAACTTTCCTAAATGAAGAGTTAGAGGAGGAGATCTATATGGATCAAGATGGGTTTGTAGCAAATGGTCAAGAAGGTAAGGTGTATAAATTATTAAAGTTATTATATGGTCTAAAACAAGCTCCTAAGCAGTGGCATGAGAAGTTTGATAGAACTCTAACATTTGTTGGCTTTGTTGTGAATGAAGTTGACAAATGTGTGTACTATCGGTATTGTGGGGGTGAAGGAGTTATTGATTGCTTATATGTTGATGACATACTGATCTTTAGATCCAGCCTCAAAGTGATTGAGGAGGTGAAGGAATTTTTATCTAATAATTTTGAAATAAAAGATTTGGGAGAGGCTGATGTTATTCTTAATATCAAGCTTCTTGAGAGAAGGTGATGGTGGGGTAACCCTGTTACAATCCCATTACGTAGAAAAGGTGCTGAGTCGCTTTGGGTTTAGTGACTGTGAACCTGCTCCTACACCTTATGACCCTAGTGTGCTATTGAGAAAAAAAATCAGAGAATAGCATGGGATCAATTGAGATATTCCCAAATCATTGGTTCGCTCATGTATCTTGCTAGTGCAACAAGGCCTAACATCTCATTTGTTGTGTGCAAGCTGAGCCGGTTTGTGTCAAACCTAGGAGATGATCATTGCCGTGCTCTTAAGAGAGTGATGCGCTATCTAAAAGGCAGTATGAGCTATGGTATTCGTTATACCGGACATCCGAAGGTGCTGGAAGGCTATTGTGATGCCAACTGGATCTCTGATGCTGATGAGCTTTATGCCACAAGTGGATATGTGTTTTCGCTTGGAGGTGGTGCTGTTTCCTGGAAGTCTTGCAAGCAGACTATCTTAACGAAATCTACAATGGAAACAGAACTCACAGCATTAGACACCACTGGCTCTGAGGCCGAGTGGCTTCATGATCTCCTTATGGATTTACCGGTTGTTGAAAAACCCATACCGGCTATTTCTATATATCTTTTCTGATGTATATCTTTTCTGATGTATATCTTTTCTTTCTGTAAGGCAGGTTGGTTTTTTTACCTTAATGTGTTCCAAGTGGCTTGCTAAAGCAATGATTTTGTCCTACAGAACATCTTTTGAGGAACACACCTATATGAGTCAGACTGCTGGTCACAGTCTATGAGATTTGGGTGATCTCTAAATACTCATGAAAGGCGCTAGAGTATGACTTATATGCTTCAAATAGAGGGGATGCCTTTTGCAGCCTAGTATCAGCTAAGGACTTTAGTGACATTCACCTTACACAAAACTGTCAATTCAAGGCTTAGTCCATTGTTCAGTTGTGACTGAGTGAAACTATTGATCTAGATGGATGTTAAACTTAACAGTCTCCATCGAAACACTGTATATAAAAGAAATGTGGTTCTGAGACTATTTTGTTACAAACCCTAGAGTTTGGTGGGGATTGTTGGATATATTATGGGTTTGGCCCATATAATAATTAATAAATCAAATAAAACTCTATGGTCCGTAACATTAAGCGTTGTATGGTTTAATACCATACAGGATTTTGACTGAACGTTGACTCAGCTTATTTGGTTGGAAATTATCCATCTCAATTGAGAAGCTGAGAAAAAGACACAGGAGTGCCACACGCGTGCGTGCCGCCGCCGGCCGAGCCAAGCCAGGCCGTGGGCGTGGGCATGGGCGCGGTCCGGGCCGGGCCAAGGCCATGGCCGTGGCGTGGCGAGGCGGGGCAGGCGGGTGGCAAGCGAGCGGACTGGCAGGCGTGGCCAGATTTTGCTACTTAATCCACATAATTACGTGAGTTTCTCTCATTTATGGTGGAGGCGAGCTGATTGCGCTAGTTACCGTATACCATCTCTTCGTGTCTCCGTCTCCTGAGTTCCTCCGCTGGCTCTCTCACTCCCCGCCGTAGGCATAAAACAGAAAGTCCTCTGTCAGTCCTTTCCTCCTTCGCTTCCGAGAGACCACATCTCATCCGTCCTTTAGCTTTTCCCGTCCCGTACCTCTGCGCACACGGAGTAGCGAGAGAGCAGGTGCCACTGGAACCCTCGTCCACCTGTGAACCTTGCACGCGGTGTGCGGCAATTAGGTTTTTGGGGAGCGATTCCGCGACTGCTCTTCTTCCTAGTGATCGCTCGCGGAACCTGTCTTCTTCCTGGTGATCGCTCGCGGGACTGCACTGCGAACACCTTCCTGCATCGACTATGGTCCACGACTTCGAGCAACGCACCATGTCTGGTGCGAATGGAGCATCCGATGTCCTCGGCATGGGACCCTCCGCTGGGTACATTCTTAACTCTGTGATTACCGTACTTTGCGTACTTACTGTATCGATTAGTATGTCATATTTGCATGCTGTAGCATTTGTTAGAGATATACACATGCACATATATGTCGTCACGAACCTGCTGATGTTTTGTTTCTGGATTAAATTGACCATGAAAATGCCTATTTATCTAACACTAGGGCCACCCTCAGCGAGGAGGAGAACGAAGGGGAGGAGGTTACCATGCCAACACCTGCCAAAGCCCACGCCGCCCATCCAACCCATGCCGTGAGGGGGAGCTACCAGGGAGAGACAGATAGAGAGAGAAGAGTTGGTGCCCACGCCACCCATCAAGCCCACGCATATCATACTTGGTGGGTTTAATGAAAATACAACCCGGGTCTGGATCAATTTAATTACACAATCCAATTATGAAAATTGTTGAATCCTAAAATTTTTTTAGGTTTCAAGTCAAATCTCTATTGTATTATCTACATGCACTTTCAAAACATATGTCATGGTGGATTTAATGGAAATAATTTGATGTTGTAGATGTTTGTGCATTTTTCTATAAACCAAGTCAGAGTTAGAGAAGTTTGATTTAGGACGAAATTCCATGAAAAGAAGTCGCCGACCATCTCGCTTAAGATTGATATAGCAAAGACTTTCGACACGGTTTCATGGCCGTTCCTCCTAGAAGTCCTCCAACACATGGGTTTCGCCAACGATGGAGAGATTGGATTTCAATAATCTTGGCCACTGCAAGCACGAAGATTCTACTCAACGGCCGCCCCGGGAGGCGAATCTGCCATGCTCGCGGCCTTCGCCAAGGAGACCCACTCTCGCCGATGTTATTTGTGCTCACCATGGAGGTCCTTAACCATTTCCTAAAATGGGTAGAGCCGTAGCAGCTTCTAACACCTCTGCATGACAGTGTCGGCAACAGGACGAGTCTGTACGCTGACGACCTAGTTCTGTTCGTGGTTCCTAGTGTGAGGGACCTATAGGTCATCAAGGCAGTGCTCACCATTTTTGGTTTAGCGTTGGTCGCGCTTTCATCTGGTGTGGCTCAGACAAAGTCTCCGGAGGAAAGTGCAAGGTGGCATGGGAGACTGTGTGTCGCCCCAGGGACCTCGGTGGCCTCGGCGTCTCTGACCTGCAATGTGCCGGGATCGCCCTACGAGTACGCTGGCCTGCCCAAGCTTCGAAGGAATGGGCAGTTATTGCCGTGTTCCAGGCGGGCACTGTATTCATGCTTGGGAATGGAGAGTCCACATTCTTCTGGACAGACAGATGGCTTGACAGCCGCAGCATTGAGGATGCTGCTCCCGCTGTTTTCGCCGCAGTGAAAGCGAGAAAGCGGAGGGCCACTGTTGCCGAGGCCCTACACAACAACGCATGGATCCGACACATCACCGGGTCGCTAACCATGTAGGTTCTGCTCCAGTTCGACCGCCTGTACGACCTATTGGAGGGGGTGCAGTTATCGGCGTAGCCAGACACCTTCGCCTGGAGGTTCACCGCCGATCAGCGCTACTCTGCCTCAACAAGGTCGCCGGGAAGGTCTTCAGGATCGGCCATCTCGGCAACCTCAAGGAGGTATCCTAGCTGTGCACTTGCAATTTGCATTGCTGGCAATTTATTAGTTAACCACTGTAACATATCTTTGCAGCTGCAACTGCTGGGATGCCTGAGCGACGTGGAGATGGTGCTCAAGGACGTGGGGTACCCGGTGAAGCTCGGCAGCGGCGTACCTGTCGAGTTACACGCCTCTCATCCCGTCCAGGATCTGAGAACAATGCAAGGGACGACAGCACAAAGAAGGCCGGCGGCCGGCGACGACGACGAGCGGGCAGACAAACAAACCAACAAAGCGTGCAGTGCAGACATCTCCACCTCTGCGCCGTGCAGAGCGGATGGCTGACTGCAGTAACGAACTATTGGCTATACTCTTTGCATGTACAGTTCATTTCCACACTCTGCTGTTGCTACGGGGTATAATTTTTGTGAACTACAGCTTTAATTAAACTTCAAATTATTCTCCGAATATATAGCCCTACCCAGATTTAACTGTATTTGGCCATAGTACCAATCAACTCTGCTTCTTGCCATCACGTAGTTTTTTCTTGAGTCTGAACTGAAATCAGGCCATACAACATGCCATTCTTGCACACAAAAAGAATACTCTTACAAATTAGTATATTTGCTCGTATTAATTCTTTGCGTGATCATAGAACAAGCTGCACTTACTACATGGATAAGTCTTACAAATACTCTGTAACTCAATGTAAAAATGGTGGCAATGAATAGTACGAACGCATCAAAATTTAGTATTGAACTGAAAACCCCAAGCAAGCCCTGGCTGTTGTGCTGAAGAACTTCAGGCAGCTCTTCCTGATCCCGACGACGGGCACGGGCGCGTGGGAGAGCGCGCTGACCAACACGCTGTCCCCGGGGGACCGCATCGTCTCCTTCCTCATCGGGCAGTTCAGCCTGCTGTGGATCGACCAGCAGCAGCGCCTGGGCTTCGACGTGGACGTGGTGGAGAGCGACTGGGGCCACGGCGCCGACCTCGCCGCGCTGGAGCGGAAGCTCCGCAACGACACCCACCGCACCATCAAGGCCGTGGCCATCGTGCACAACGAGACCGCCACGGGCGTCACCAACGACCTGGCCGCCGTGCGCAGGCTGCTGGACGCGTACGCGCACCCGGCGCTGCTGCTGGTGGACGGCGTGTCGTCCATCTGCGCGCTGGACTTCCGCATGGACGAGTGGGGCGTGGACGTCGCGCTCACCGGCTCGCAGAAGGCGCTGTCGATGCCGACCGGGATGGGCATCGTGTGCGCTAGCCCCAAGGCGCTGGAGGCCAGCAAGACGGCGAGGTCTGTGCGCGTGTTCTTTGACTGGAAGGACTACCTCAAGTTCTACGAGATGGGCACGTACTGGCCCTACACGCCCTCCATCCAGCTCCTCTACGGACTCCGCACCGCGCTCGACCTCATCTTCGAGGAAGGGCTCGACAATGTCTTCAAGAGGCACAACCGCCTTGGAACAGCCACGAGGTATGGTGGTGTTTCCTTGCATGCCCACCAGGTGCTCGACTCACGGTCATGGATCGGATTAATTCATTGCATGAATGTGAAATGCAGGTTCGCCGTGGAGGCGTGGGGGCTCAAGAACTGCTGCCAGAAGGAGGAGTGCTTCAGCGACACCGTCACCGCCGTCGTCGTGCCGCCCTACATCGACAGCGCGGAGATCGTCAAGCACGCGTGGAAGCGGTACAACCTCAGCCTCGGCCTCGGCCTCAACAAGGTCGCCGGGAAGGTCTTCAGGATCGGCCATCTCGGCAACCTCAACGAGGTATCCTAGCTGTGCACTTGCAATTTGCATTGTTGGCAATTTATTAGTTAACCACTGTAACATATCTTTGCAGCTGCAACTGCTGGGATGCCTGAGCGGCGTGGAGATGGTGCTCAAGGACGTGGGGTACCCGGTGAAGCTCGGCAGCGGCGTGGCGGCCGCGGCGGCGTACCTGTCGAATTACACGCCTCTCATCCCGTCCAGGATCTGAAAACAATGCAAGGGACGACAGCACAAAGAAGGCCGGCGGCCGGCGACAACGACGAGCGGGCAGACAAACAAACGAACAAAGCGTGCAGTGCAGACATCTCCGCCTCTGCGCCGTGCAGAGCGGATGGCTGACTGCAGTAACGAACTATTGGCTATACTCTCTGCATGTACAGTTCATTTCCACACTCTGCAGTTGCTACGGGGTATAATTTTGTGAACTACAGCTTTAATTAAACTTCAAATTATTCTCCGAATATATAGCCCTACCCAGATTTTAACTGTATTTGGCCATAGTACCAATCAACTCTGCTTCTTGCCATCACGTAGTTTTTTCTTGAGTCTGAACTGAAATCAGGCCACACAACATGCCATTCTTGCACACAAAAAGAATACTCTTAGAAATTAGTATATTTGCTCGTATTAATTCTTTGCGTGATCATAGAACAAGCTGCACTTACTACATGGATAAGTCTTACAAATACTCTGTAACTCAATGTAAAAATGGTGGTAATGAATAGTACGAAACGCATCAAAATTTAGTATTGAACTGAAAGCTCCAAGCAAGCCCTGGCTGTTGTGCTGAAGAACTTCAGGCAGCTCTGGCGAGCTGTCCGAGCTCCCTGTCGACGGCGACCTTGAGGAAGCTGCCTTCCTCGACGACCATCTGCACGGGCAGGAAGCCTAGCCCGTTGGCCACGGCGAGCATCACCTCCTTCATCTCCGCCCGGAACTCGTGCCGGTCCACCTTGCCGCTGCCGTCCCTGTCGAACCGCGCGAAAAGGCCGCGGTACAGGCCTGCGAGCTCGTTGGGGTCTACGGCTGCTTCGTCCACGCCGAAGTGCTTCTCCAGCATGCGCAGGCTCATGAGCTCTCCGGCCATCTCGGCGTAGGTGAGCAGACCGTCGTGGTCGGCGTCCAGCGCCGCGAACCGGCCGTCCACCGAGGAGTTGAAGGCGCCTTCGTCCTCCACGAAGCTCCGCACCGTGCTCCCGTCCAGGATCTCCACGCTCATCTTCGGATTCTGTCGGTGTTTCTAGGGATGTGTTGGTGTGAGAGTTTTGGTCTGCTCTCTGCGCGATCAGTCGTCCTGGTGTTTTATAGGGTCATACGATTGGCCATTCGACCGTGCCTGGATTCCCTGGAAGGCGCGTTTGGGCCGACGGTTTTTGCTGACGGGTTAGATTGGGCGGTGGGTTTTGATGCAGGTCGATGCTGTGGGCGCGTTTGGCGACGCGATGATTTCATTTCTTTGGGCCGTGCAGGTGTGGCGTTGTTTCATCGTGGCACCGTTGGGCCTGTGGAAAAAAACTGTGCCAGGTCGGTGACGAGTGTTGGTTGGGCAGTCCGACAGCGAAAGACTTTTCAACAGGTGAGGTGGCGCGTGCCGACCGACTAGCGAACCACGGGTTCCCGGAACAGAATGCCCAGTGCCTCTCAAGTCTCAAAACTTGTAGCTCTGTTGTTTCTTTTGACGAAGGAAACGATACGGTTTTAAGCAATAGAATTCCACACAAAAAGTTTAGCAGCACGCATAACCAATTCTAAAACAAAAAATCATTATTGGTTTTAAGAGCCTATTGTTAGATGATCTCTATCCAATTGGCCCGACTCTTGGATCCGTGCTCTGATCAGGGACGCCCAACCCTACATGGTTGGTGGGCCCCCGTCACACTATGCTATAAAAGAAAGGTGGAGCCGGCGGCTCAAGTAACGAGATTCACCTGAGCTACAATCACCCACCGACACAACCCCAATTCCGATCTAAGAGAGGGTACGCAGCCAGTGACGGGAAGCACCGCCACCGGCCAATGCCGCCACTGCACCGCCGCCCTTCGACACAGCACCGCCACTGCGTCTTCACCAAGCACCGCGATGGCGATCCCGTCTTTCTCGAAGGCGGCCGATGGTTTGTAGCCTCTTCACCCCTCTCTCTCACTCTATCTATTAATCCTGTACTAGTAGATGTTTTAGGACTCACTGTTTATTTTAAAAGCAAGCAGACACGCTAGATCTATGATTAGTGATCCTGCTTTAGGTCTATCAATGGTATCAGACGCCTAACTATGTGTAAATCTAGCCTATCGAAAAAGAAAACCAAGTAGCAGCATTTAGAAGGAGGTGATCGATTCGTTTTCGGATCTAAACAGAGGGTTCATCGAACCCTAAACCCAAAATCGGGTGAAGAAAAGGAGTGAGGGTCTCGGTTTTTGAAAAGCAACTCAAACCCTAACCCTAACCCGCGCAAATAGCTCGGGGAAGAAGAACAGTACGAAACCCTAACCCTAACCCGCGCCAACAGCTCGGGGAAGAAGAACAATATGAAACCCTAACCCTAACCCGCGCAAACAGCTCAGGGAAGAAGAATAGTACGAAACCCTAACCCTAACCCATGCAAACAGCTCGTGGAAGAAGAACAGTACGAAACCCTAACCCTAACCCTAAATCGGACAACTTTCGGGAAGAAGAGAAAGTAAATCCATTCAGAGGGAAGAAGGGGAAAGGGGAAGGGCTTTAGAAGATGGCTTACCTCGCCGCTGCACCGCGTTGTTGTTTTGCCAGCGCAGGGGAAGAAGGCCGAGCTGTTGCTCGTCAGGTGAGTGCGATCTCTAGCCAAGGGCGCCACCGCTAGTCCGCTCGATGGCGGCGCGCTCACCCGCGTGTGGAGCGCGCGCACCGGCGAAGGGGCCGGCAATGGCGCCATGGTCTCTCTCTGCGCTCTCGCTTTTTCGCTCGCCGGCTGCTGCGCTGAGGAGAAGAGAGGGGCGAGGCGAAGAGAAAGAAAGGTCAGGCGCAAATGAGATAGGGTTTCGGGGGAGGCCGTGGCGCGGGGGTTTTGTTCGGTCGACGCGCGCGCTCGACCGCCCGATGCAGATGGACGATCGAGAACACTCGGGCCAGATTGAGCCCAGGCGGGCGCGCGCGGCGGGCGGCTTTGCCGGCGCCGGCCCAGGTTGTGGCCTGGGATGGCGCAGCGCGCGCGAGAGCAGAACAGGTGCGGGCCGATTTTTGCATCTAGGGCGTCACTGTGCACATCATGCCAGTATTTCGGTCCACATTGCACAGTAAAGTTTTTTGTTTTTGTTTTATTATTTTCAGAAGCAGATTTCGATGAATTTTGTCTAGTTTAAATCTCTGCCAAAATTTGAACCAACGAGATAATTTTTTCAGAGAGTAGATTAGTACAGTAAATGCTTCTGAAAAGTAGATAAATAATTTTTTATGTTTCTGACGCAATGTTAAAGTTTATAATTTTCTAATTAAATTCGAACCAACGGAAGAATTTAATTTGAACAGTAGTCAATTTTAATCAGTAAATTATAATATTGTTATTTTTCTGACCAACGTTGATAATAGTAATATTATAATATTTATTCATCAGTTTTCCATGCATTAATTCTATTTCTACCCAACGGTGACGTAGAATTAGTGTATAAGAATGAAGTATGTTTTAATTTTGACCAACGTTAAATTAAAACATGCAATTATGATGTCATAATTTTCTCACTATCTCTGACGGTGTTTTTCAGGACTCAACCCAATAGCATTCATCTCGCACATACCACCTCTTGAAGGGGGCAGCTATAGGGTATGGCGAGAGAAGTATGAGCTATCACTTGCGCTGTCTGAAAATGACCTAGCGCTTACCTCCCCGTGTCCTACTGAGCCAGTGGACCCGGTGAGGAAAGAAAATAAGTTTGATGCTGATTTCACTGCTCGGTGGCGAGATCATGCAGAAATGCGGATGAAGTATGATCTCGAACATAAGAAATGGGACATTTCAAACCGCAAGTGCTTGATGATGGCCAAGTCCACAATTTTATATGCTATAAGGGGGTCTATCCCAAACTGTGATACCGCCATGGAGTACCTTAAGAAGGTGGAGAGTCAGTTCACTGGCTCTTCAAAAACTTATGCCAGGACATTGATCAATAAATTGTTCAATGAAAAATATACCGGTGGCGGTATCAGAGAGCACAAATTAAAGATGAGCAACACGGCTTTGAAGCTGAAGCCAATGGATTTGGAGCTTAAGGATGAGTTCCTAATTCATTTGGTTTTTGCTTCCTTATCAAAGGAATATGAAACCTTTGTTATTAACTACAACATGTAGCCCGACAAGTGAAACATAAAGAAGCTCATCGCAATATGTGTTCAAGAAGAGAAAAGGCTGAAGTCCTTACCGCTGCCGTCCCTGTCGAACCGCTCGAAAAGGCCGCGGTACAGGCCTGCGAGCTCGTTGGGGTCTATGGCTGCTTCGTCCACGCCGAAGTGCTTCTCCAGCACGCGCAGGCTCATGAGCTCTCCGGCCATCTCGGCGTAGGTGAGCAGACCGTCGTGGTCGGCGTCCAGCGCCGCGAACCGGCCGTCCACCGAGGAGTTGAAGGCGCCTTCGTCCTCCACGAAGCTCCGCACCGTGCTCCCGTCCAGGATCTCCACGCTCATCTTCGGATTCTGTCGGTGTTCTAGGGATGTGTTGGTGTGAGAGTTTTGGTCTGCTCTGCGCGATCAGTCGTCCTGGTGTTTTATAGGGTCATACGATTGGCCATTCGACCGTGCCTGGATTCCCTGGAAGGCGCGTTTGGGCCGACGGTTTTTGCTGACGGGTTAGATTGGGCCGGTGGGTTTTGATGCAGGTCAGATGCTGTGGGCGCGTTTCGGCGACGCGATGATTTCATTTCTTTGGGCCGTGCAGGTGTGGCCGTTGTTTCATCGTGGCACCGTTGGGCCTGTGGAAAAAACTGTGCCAGGTCGGTGACGAGTGTTGGTTGGGCAGTCCGACAGCGAAGACTTTTCAACAGGTGAGGTGAGCGCGTGCCAGCCGACTAGCAGACACGGGTTCCCGGAACAGAATGCCCAGTGCCTCTCAAGTCTCAAAACTTGTAGCTCTGTTGTTTCTTTTGACGAAGGAAACGATACGGTTTTAAGCAATAGAATTCCACACAAAAAGTTTAGCAGCTCGCATAACCAATTCTAAAACAAAAAATCATTATTGGTTTTAAAGGCCTATCACTACCGACCTTTGGAACCGGCATTGCGTAGTCGACAGTGATATATGGTGAAGGCTACCATTGGCGTTGCCTCAACCGATAGTAATGAGCAATAAAAAAACAAAAAGAAATTTTTTAGGTTTAATGAAAATACAACCCGGGTCTGGATCAATTTAATTACACAATCCAATTATGAAAATTGTTGAATCCTAAAAATTTTTTAGGTTTCAAGTCAAATCTCTATTGTATTATCTACATGCACTTTCAAAACATATGTCATGGTGGATTTAATGGAAATAATTTGATGTTGTAAATGTTTGTGCATTTTTCTATAAACCAAGTCAGAGTTAGAGAAGTTTGATTTAGGACAAAATTCCATGAAAAGAAGTCGCCGACCATCTCGCTCAAGATTGATATAGCAAAGGCTTTCGACACAGTTTCATGGCCGTTCCTGCTAGAAGTCCTCCAACACATGGGTTTCGCCAGCGATGGAGAGATTGGATTTCAATAATCTTGACCACTGCAAGCACGAAGATTTTGCTCAACGGCCGCCCGGGAGGCGAATCTGCCATGCTCGCGGCCTTCGCCAAGGAAACCCACTCTCGTCGATGTTATTTGTGCTCACCATGGAGGTCCTTAACCATTTCCTAAAATGGGTAGAGCAGCAGCAGCTTCTAACACCTCTGCATGACAGTGTCGGCAACAGGACGAGTCTATACGCTCACGACCTAGTTCTGTTCGTGGTTCCTAATGTGAGGGACCTACAGGTCATCAAGGCAGTGCTCACCTTTTTTGGTTTAGCGTTGGGCCTGTTCTCCAACCTAGACAAGAGTGTAGCGTCCCCGCTCCACTGCTCGGAGAACGACATTGCCAGAGTTAGGGATATCCTCTCCTGCCGGATCGAGGACCTCCCATGTCGCTATCTAGAGGCACCGCTTTCAGTCCGGAGACTCAAGAGATCTGACGAGCAGCCTCTCATCGATAAAGTCGCTGCAAGAATACCGAAATGGAAGGGCAATATGCTCAACGTTGCTGGACGAACGGCTCTGTTGAAAGCAACTATGTCTACCATCCCGACGCATATGTCCATCGTCCTCTGCTTGTTGCCTTGGGCGATCGGGTCGATTGACAAGCTGCGTCGCGCCTTCATCTGGTGTGGTTCAGACAAAGTCTCCGGAGGAAAGTGCATGGTGGCATGGGAGACTGTGTGTCGCCCCAGGGACCTCGGTGGCCTCGGCGTCTCTGACCTACGACGTGCCGGGATCGCCCTACGAGTACGCTGGGAGTGGCAGGCGCGACTGGAGCGTCGACCCGCCCTGGCTTCGAAGGAATAGGCAGTTATTTCCGTGTTCCAGGCGGCCACTATATATCATGCTTGGGAATGGAGAGTCCACATTCTTCTGGACAAATAGATGGCTTGACGGCCGCAGCATTGAGGATGCTGCTCCCGCTGTTTTCGCTGCGGTGAAAGCGAGAAAGCGGAGGGCCACCGTTGCCGAGGCCCTACACAACAACGCATGGATCGTCCACATCACCGGGCCGCTAACCATGCAGGTCCTGCTCCAGTTCGACCGCCTGTACGACCTATTGGAGGGGGTGCAGTTATCGGCGCAGCCGGACACCTCCGCCTGGAGGTTCACCGCCGATCAGTGCTACTCTGCCTCAACAAGGCCGCCGGGAAGGTCTTCAGGATCGGCCATCTCGGCAACCTCAAGGAGGTATCCTAGCTGTGCACTTGCAATTTGCATTGTTGGCAATTTATTAGTTAACCACTGTAACATATCTTTGCAGCTGCAACTACTGGGATGCCTGAGCGGCGTGGAGATGGTGCTCAAGGACGTGGGGTACCCGGTGAAGCTCGGCGGCAGCGGCGTGGCGGCCGCGGCGGCGTACCTGTCGAATTACACACCTCTCATCCCGTCCAGGATCGTCAAGCACGCGTGGAAGCGGTACAACCTCAGCCTCGGCCTCGGCCTCGGCCTCAACAAGGTCGCCGGGAAGGTCTTCAGGATCGGCCATCTCGGCAACCTCAACGAGGTATCCTAGCCGTGCACTTGCAATTTGCATTGCTGGCAATTTATTAGTTAACCACTGTAACATATCTTTGCAGCTGCAACTGCTGGGATGCCTGAGCGGCGTGGAGATGGTGCTCAAGGACGTGGGGTTCCCGGTGAAGCTCGGCAGCGGCGTGGCGGCCGCGGCGGCGTACCTGTCGAATTACACGCCTCTCATCCCGTCCAGGATCTGAGAACAATGCAAGGGACGACAGCACAAAGATGGCCGGCGGCCGGCGACGACGACGAGCGGGCAGACAAACAAACGAACAAAGCGTGCAGTGCAGACATCTCCGCCTCTGCGCCGTGCAGAGCGGATGGCTGACTGCAGTAACGAACTATTGGCTATACTCTTTGCATGTACAGTTCATTTCCACACTCTGCTGTTGCTACGGGGTATAATTTTGTGAACTACAGCTTTAATTAAACTTCAAATTATTCTCCGAATATATAGCCCTACCCAGATTTAACTGTATTTGGCCATAGTACCAATCAACTCTGCTTCTTGCCATCACGTAGTTTTTTCTTGAGTCTGAACTGAAATCAGGCCATACAACATGCCATTCTTGCACACAAAAAGAATACTCTTACAAATTAGTATATTTGCTCGTATTAATTCTTTGCGTGATCATAGAACAAGCTGCACTTACTACATGGATAAGTCTTACAAATTAATACTCTGTAACTCAATGTAAAAATGGTGGTAATGAATAGTACGAAACGCATCAAAATTTAGTATTGAACTGAAAACTCCAATCAAGCCCTGGCTGTTGTGCTGAAGAACTTCAGGCAGCTCTGGCGAGCTGTCCGAGCTCCCTGTCGACGGCGACCTTGAGGAAGCTGCCTTCCTCTACGACCATCTGCACGGGCAGGAAGCCCAGCCCGTTGGCCACGGCGAGCATCACCTCCTTCATCTCCGCCCGGAACTCGTGCCGGTCCACCTTGCCGCTGCCGTCCCTGTCGAACCGCGCGAAAAGGCCGCGGTACAGGCCTGCGAGCTCGTTGGGGTCTATGGCTGCTTCGTCCACGCCGAAGTGCTTCTCCAGCACGCGCAGGCTCATGAGCTCTCCGGCCATCTCGGCGTAGGTGAGCAGACCGTCGTGGTCGGCGTCCAGCGCCGCGAACCGGCCGTCCACCGAGGAGTTGAAGGCGCCTTCGTCCTCCACGAAGCTCCGCACCGTGCTCCCGTCCAGGATCTCCACGCTCATCTTCGGATTCTGTCGGTGTTCTAGGGATGTGTTGGTGTGAGAGTTTTGGTCTGCTCTGCGCGATCAGTCGTCCTGGTGTTTTATAGGGTCATACGATTGGCCATTCGACCGTGCCTGGATTCCCTGGAAGGCGCGTTTGGGCCGACGGTTTTTACTGACGGGTTAGATTGGGCCCGGTGGGTTTTGACGCAGGTCAGATGCTGTGGGCGCGTTTGATTTCATTTCTTTGGGCCGTGCAGGTGTGGCCGTTGTTTCATCGTGGCACCGTTGGGCCTGTGGAGAAAACGTGTGCCAGGTCGGTGACGGTTGTCGGTTGGGCAGTCCGACAACCAAACTGTCGACAGGTGAGGTGAGCGCGTGCCAGCCGACTAGCAGACACGGGAGAATGTCCAGTGCCTCTCAAGTCTCAAAACTTGTAGCTCTGTTGTTTCTTTTGACGAAGGAAACGATACGGTTTTAAGCAATAGAATTCCACACAAAAGTTTAGCAGCACGCATAACCAATTCTAAAACAAAAAATCATTATTGGTTTTAAGAGCCTATCACTACCGAACTTTGGAACCGGCGTTGCGTAGTCGACAGTGATATATGGTGATGGCTACCATTCGTGTTGCCTCAACCGATAGTAATGAGCAATAAAAAAATAAAAAAGAAAAAGAAAATAACCTAAGTTTGGATGTGTCGGTCGCCGCCGCCGCTCTTTCAACGCTCGTCGGGCTGCTGGTGGCCCATGCTAGGTGTTGGATATATTATGGGCTTCGACCATATAATATTTAATAAATCAAATAAAACTTTATGGTCCATAACATTAAGCGTTGTATGGTTTAATACTATATAAGATTTTGACTAAACGTTGACTCAGCTTATTTGGATGGAAATTATCCATTTTAATTGAGAAGCTGAGAAAAGGACACACGAGTGCCACACGCGCGCGCGCCGCCGCCGCCGCCGCCTGGGCCGGGCCGAGGGCGAGGCAGGCGAGCGGACGGGCGGGTGTGGCCAGGTTTTGCCACTTAATCCACATAATTACGGGAGTTTCTCTCATTTATGGTGGAGGCGAGCTGATTGTGCCAGTCTACCATCTCTTCGTGTCTCCGTCTGCTGAGTTCCTCCGCTGGCTCTATACCTCCCCGCCGCAGGCATAAAACACAAAGTCCTCCGTCAATCCTTTCCTCCTTTGCTTCCGAGAGACCA